TGTTCAGATCTGGTATCCCTGGTTGCAGTGAATTGGTCACGTGCAAACACATGTTTAATATGTAAACATTTACTAATTTATTACATGTCATCCCCTTCATAAAAGGGTGGGCAGCTCTGTCAAGGTAGCTGGGTGTCTTCCTTGGCTTGTTGCAGGTGAGTTTTCACCTGCAGTTTCTCTCTGCTGCTCACACCTGGGCTCAACGTGCAACAGACAGCATGGCCCACCCTGCTCTGTTCTGATAATGTAAAACTGTTTCTGGTTCCCTTTATTGGTTGAAAGCAGTGTCAGTTTATTTCCTGTATCATCATTAGATTGGATGGCTTTACCAGGACCACAACAACACACACGTTATTATCCCCTTCTCATTTTTACAGATGAATGAAAATCATCCTGGCCAAATTCAAAATAATGGAAATTTGTTGCGGTTACGGAGAACTTTAATACATGTGCTGCACATCCTATTCAACCTGATACCTCTGTTTCACCAGTCAATACAAGTCCCCCTCTCCCTTTATAGTGTCCAGCCTCTTGTACAACTAACTCATCATAACCTTCTGTTTTGTTTTTACTACCTCCCACATTGCTCTGTGTTGCATCTTACTATATTTCGGTCTACTCTTCGTATCTCACACTGTCCCAATTCTTATTGACTAATCACTTCCGCTGGATAACTTCTTGCACTCCACTATTCCACCATTGGATTTCCTTATCATCTTTCCTCTGTACAAATGACACACCAAGCACCTTTCTGCCCGTCTCTTTAACCACTGTTGCAGTAGTAGTAATCTGGGAAGCTCATTCTTACCACCCAGAGCCTTTAACAGCTTATCTCTGAACTGCTAACAACATTCTTCCTTCTGCAACTACCATTCTGTCTTCTCCTCTGAATTTACTTTTTTCTTCTTCTTTACCACAACAGTTGCCCATCACTCCACCATCCGAAACTGTCTGGCCACGCTCTCCCAATCTACAATCTTACAGTCCCAATATTCCTCAGGGTAACTCTTCTACATAAAATTTAGTCTCCTGCATTATAATGCTTCCACTCTTATGGATCACCCTATGTCCCTCCTTCTTTTGGAAATAGGTGATGATTATAGTCATTCCCATCCTCTTGGCAAAATACACCACCATCTGCCATTCCTGGTTCCTTTCCTTGACACCAAACCTGCCTATCATTTTCTCATCCCTTCTGTTTTTTTGCCCAACATGCCCATGTAGGGCTGCCACTATCTCCTGTCTAGGAATAGTCTTTATCACTTCATCCAGATCCTTCTCTACCTCACTTCCAACCTGTGAAACATACAGTAAACAGTGACAACACTCAACATCAGACCTTCTACTTCTACCTTCAGACAAAGCACCCTATATGACACTTGTTTCACCTCTACCTCTTTGCTAACTTTTCTTCAGGACCACCCCTACTCCATTTCTCTTCCTATCCACACCATGGTAAAAAAAAAAAAAGTTTAAAACCTGCTCCATTGTTGTGAGTCTTGCTGCCCTTTCACTTGGTCTCTTAAACACATAAAACATCTACCTTCTTTCTCTGCATCATATCAGCCATCTCTCTACAGTGCATCCAGAAAGTATTCACAGTGCTTCACATTTTCCATATTTTGGTATGTTACAGCCTTATTTCAAATTGTAGTAAATTATTCCATCCATCCATTTTCTTTACCCGCTTCTTCCTTTTCGGGTTGCAGGGGTCACTGGTGCCCATATCCAGCCATCACTGTGCAAGAGGCAGGGTACACCCTGGACAGGTCTCCAGTCCATCACAGGGACATATGGAGACAAACGAGACAAACAACCATTCACACTTTCACTCACACCTAGGGACAATTTAGTTACCAATCAGCCAATGGCTGATATCAATGCATATTTTTTGTCTGTGGGAGGAAACTGGAGTACCTGGAGAAAACCCACACATGCACGGAGAGAACATACAAACTCCACCCAGAAAGGTCCCCGGCTGGATTTAAACTGGGGCGACCTGCTCACTGAGAGGTGGCAGCTCTACCAACTGCACCACCATGCTTCCCGTAAATTGTTAAATTTCCTCAAAATTCTACACACAATACCCCAGTATGACAAAGAGAAATACTTTTTTTTTTAGATTTTTGCAAATTTATCAAAAATAGAAAACTAAGAAATAAGATTTACATAAGAATTCACAGCCTTTGCTTAAGACTTTGTTGATCCACCTTTGGCAGCAATTACAGCCTCAAGTATTTTTGAATATGATGCCACAAGCTTAGCACACTTTAAAGCAGTTTTTCCCCATTCTTCTTTGCAGTACTTCTCTAGCTCCATCAGGTTGAATGGGAGACGTCTGTGCACAGCCATTTTCAGATATCTTCAGTGATGTAGAATCGGATTCAAGTCAGGAGTCCGGCTTGTCCACTCCAGGACCTTCACAGAGTGGTCCTGAAGCCACTCCTTTGAGGTCTTGGCCATGTGCTTGGGGTCGATGTCCTGCTGAAAAATGAACCTTCACCCCCAGCCTCAAGTCAAGAGCGCTTTGGAGCAGGTTTTCATCCAGGATGTCTCTGTACATTGCTGCATTCATTTTTCCCTCTAGCCTGACTAGTCTTCCAGTTTTTGCTGCTGAAAAACATTCCCATAGCATGATGCTACCACCACCATGCTTCACTGTAGGGATGGTATTGGCCTTATGATGAGTGGTATCTGGTTTCCTCCAAACACGATGCCTGGCATTCACAACAAATAGTTAAATTTTTGTCTCAACAGACCAGGGAATTTTGTTTCTTATGGTCAAAGTCCTTCAGGTGCCTTTTGGCAACCCCAGACGGGCTGCCGTGTGCCATTTATTAAGGAGTGGCTTTCGTCTGGCCACTCTACTATACAGGCCTGATTTGGTAGATGCTACAGAGATGATTGCCCTTCTCGAAGGTTCTCCGCTTTCCACAGAGGAAAGCTGGAGCTCTGACAGAGTGACCATCAGGTTCTTGGTCACCTCACTGACTAAGGCCCTTCTCCTTCGATCACTCAGTTTAGACAGCCGGCCAGCTCTAGGAAGAATCCTGGTGGTTCCAAACCTCTTCCATTTACAAATTATGGAGGCCACTATGCTTACTGGGACCGTCAAAGAATAATTTTTTTCTGTATCCTTCCCCAAATTTGTGCCTCAACACAATCCTGTCTCTGAGGTCTAATAATAATAATAATAATGCATTTTATTTGTCAGCGCCTTTCAAAACACCCAAGGACACTTCACAGCACTAAAAACACTGTACTAAACAATATAAAATAACTATTAAAAACACGAAACCAAAAAGAAAATAACATTTAAAAATAACAGTTAAAGTGAAAAGGCTAGCTTGAACAGATGAGTTTTAAGTTTTGATTTGAAGGTCAGAAGGCAGTCAATGTTACGGATGTCCGGGGGAAGAGCATTCCAGAGCTGGGGAGCAGAGTGAGAAAAGGCTCTGTGTCCCATGGTGCTGAGGCGGACAAGAGGCACGTTAAGGTGGATGGAAGTGGAAGAACGAAGGGAGCGTGAATGGGTGGTAATGTGCAGGAGATCTATCAGGTAAGGAGGGGCGAGGTTGTGGATAGCTTTGAAAGTGAACAACAAGATTTTAAATTGAATTCTGAATGTGACTGGAAGCCAGTGAAGTTGCTGTAAAACTGGGGTGATGTGGTGAAATGAGGGGGTTTTGGTGACGATGCGGGCAGCTGAATTTTGAACCATTTGAAGCTTACGGATTAATTTGTGAGGCAGACCAAAGAGGAGAGAGTTACAGTAATCGATTCGAGAAATGACCAGACTGTGGACCAGGATGGAAGCAGAGTGTGGAGAGAGGGATGGACGGAGACGGTTGATATTTCGAAGGTGGAAATATGCAGACCGGGTAATACTATTGATGTGAGAGTGGAAAGAGAGAGTGCTGTCAAGAATGACACCCAGACTCTTGACGTGAGGGGAGGGAGAAACTAAGGAGTTGTCGATGGTGAGTGAGAAACTGTTAACTTTAGATAAGTTGGATTTAGTGCC